TATCACCGATATAACCGATATATCGAATATCGGTCCTGACCGATATTTCGTATTCTGACCGATATAACAGCATAGCTTGCAAGAAATATATTTCGAATAAACTTTGTTCTTGTGTCAACAATGGTTGCTGTCATGACCTTAAGTTGAAATGGCCACCAATCAGATTAGATGTCAATTTTGTTCTTTGGTGATTTAAACAAAATTCTTTGCAGACGTACCAACGGATTATCGCACAGCCACAAAAGGTATATTATTTATATAAATTGATTAATCTCCTTTATTGGCTCAATTAAGTATCAAGACTGTGGTTTGAAAACTCATGACTTCTTTGGTTGCCGAGTGATATGCTCAATCAACTGCTGGACTGTTCACTTTTGAGAAAGGGCTTAATTTTCACTGCAAATTATTTGTTCATTTGGATGGTGTGCTTCTTGTTGGCAATAGTGTGACAAATATCAGTGACAATCTATATTACTTCGACTGGACCTGATATTTCGTTTACAGCTCAATTGCTCAACTTTGACCAGATCTGATAATTTGAATTAGTTGCTAGTTGGGTTTGTGACTTTGTGGCACGTTCACTTGGAAGTGGTATTTGCTTTGCTATTTATGGGCCTTTGTCACCTCCATTTCCTTCATTTTTTTATCTTATATCTTTCTTTTCTTTCAAACCTTTTTCAAATTGCCAAAACCAAATTCTAAGCGAAGTCTTTTTCTCTAAAACCTTTTTACAAGCTGAGGGTCTTCACAGAAACAAACTCACTACTACTTGGGGGAGAGGTAAGGTCTGCATTCATCCTACCCTCCCCAGACCCTACTGTGTGAGATTTATTGGGTTCGTTTGATTTTTTCCTGTACAAAATTTACAAAGGCATTATCCATGAGACTGCTAGTAACATCCTTGTTCATTGGTTCTTAGCATATACATCATTCGTTTTGCTAGTAACATCCTTGTTCATTGGTTCTTAGCACATACATCATTCATTTCGTATTTTTCTCTCTTGTCTCCATCATATTGAACTCAACTTTTGTACTTCAGCAAGGATATAGCCAAGGTGAAAGACGAYCAGGAGTGGGAGATCCTTGAAACGAAAAGAGCCCTGTCAAGAACAGGACCTATTGAAGCTTACAAGCCCAAAAACTTGTCGCTGGAGGAGGAGCTAAAGGTGACATAACATCCTTTAAACAGATAAAGCACCAAACAAAACAAAACAAAACAAAACAAACCCAATATATCCCACCCGAAAGTTGGGTCTGGGGTGGTGAGATGTACACAGACCTGACCTCCACCCAACACCCAGAGAGTAGAGGGCATGCTTCCGTGAAGATCCTTTAAACTAATACATCAGTATACATATATCTTTGTGGAGCTTAAGAAAAGGGGCAGATGTCACCTTTTGGGACAGGCCACCGCACCTGGTTCCACTTGGGGGAGAAAAATCGCTGTCCCAGAGGCAGGTGGTTGGTGCCTGGGTCATTGTGTGTCACCACCTCCCACCTATCCTACACATTCGATCAAGGTTTTWAACCCGAGACCTCATCTCAAGTGGATGCTTCTTCCCACCTCCATACCTCTAAGGTGACCAATGCGATTTTTGARGTTTATGAGTGGGTTGTTTTGGTTGCAGGCTTTGCAGCAGAGTGTTGACATAAACAACTATGAATATAAGAAGATCCCCAAGCCGAATGAAGGTAAATGAACTTCAAGTGTAGTTTTTCATGAATCRTTTCACCTTTCCCTAAATAAACCACATCGTTCTGTCTTTTGAACTTTAAGGGTTTGTGAAGATGATGTATGTAGATTTTGTCACTTAAAACTGCATTTRGGCAATTTCTTGGCCTTATTGTGCCCCAACCCCAATGCATAGGATGCTCTTCATCTACAAATGCATCAAACTTTTAAGATGTATAAAGGGAGTTAGGACTAAGTTCTTCTATCCCTGTTGAATTTTGATGTGATTTGGTGTTCTGGAAAGTGGTGAAGCCTRTACTTTAATGAGGTTGATGTTCTTTGCATAAACTGAGGAGAATCTTGAGGTTCTTTTTAGAAGCCATATTCTTAAAAACAGTCTATCTAGGTCAAGTTTTTGTCTCAAGGGATCCAAAATGGGTAAAAGTAAGAAATCGAGCAATYGAGTAGTTCAAAGTTTGTTTAAATGCTTATAACATGTTAAATGGCTCTATAAAAGGACCACCTTGCAAGGCTAAATACTCCTGGATGACCAATAAATAGCAAAGCAGTACCACGGAAATAATATTTTAAATTGACCATGACCCTGACCCTACCTCATAGTGGATATGTTGAGAAGGGTTAGTTTGGTTTCATAGTTATAGTAAGATGTTCTATTTGCATTCCATTCAACTAGTAACTCAATAAGTAAAATCACTTCAATAGATTACTATTACGATACGAGGATGTTTGTTTACCTCTTAATAGTTCTATTAARAGGCAGTCTATGAATCGCTAAGAGGTGAATCTTATTTAGCAAAAGAAAATAATCTGCTTCTTAATGATTCTAAAACCCTTTGAATGATTTTGAATAATTTTGTATCTTGGCCTCCTAAACCGTTAAGTGMCTAATTTCATTTTGAACAGTCATCAAATAACCATTTTTCATTTTGTATTATATTATAAGAGTCTTTTAATCATTCTGACCACTTAATTATCTTGCATCAAACCATTCATCAACTAGTAAACAACCCCTCATATTGATTAGAGAAAGTAGAGAATACTAAAATTAATTAGAGAATACAAGATTTTTTTTTTGATTAACCTGGATATCCAACCTGCTATACGAGCCGACTAATCCCAGGACGACCACCTGCTTTGCATATAGCTTAGAGTCAACGTATTTGAACCTCCGTGGCCATAAAGGGATCTTTATTCTTCTTTGGATTTGAACCTGAGACCTCCTGGTACTATTGACCTTTGGAGCCAAACTCAAACCAATCAGGCACCACCCTTGTGGTTGAATACAAGATTTTTAGTAGCAATGTAGTCAAGTAATTTGTCGGCCTAATCCCAACCCATTAAATTGACCTTTGGATAGCTCGGTTCAATCGATTCTTTGAGTCACATATAGCTTCATTCGAGATCGAATCCAACGGTTCCTCAATGTTTCTTCACGGAGGTCTGTTTTTAAATAAGTCTCCTTGTGAGGATCATCGGTCTTTCTTGAGACAACCTCTGTAATGTAAGAGCCTATTGTTTTGTTATTACTCGGTAGGAGTTGGTTTTAAATTGTATTACAAATTAATCTCCATCTTTGTTCATTATACTTGTTTGATCAAAACATACCATCAATCGCCAACATATTTCATTACAAAAATTATGAACCAAAAAATAGTTTATAATTAACCACAAGGGTGGTGCCTGATTGGTTTGAACTTGGCTCCAAAGGTCAAAAGTACTAGGAGGTTTCAAGTTTAAATCCAAAGAGGAATAAAAATCCCCCTGTGGCCACAAAGGTTCAAATGCGGTGACTCCCGGTTATCTGCAAAGCAGGTGGTCGTTCTGGGATTAGTCTGCTCGCATAGCGGGTTGGATATACAGGTTAATAAAAAAATAGTTTACAATTTTAAATAAGGAATTATAAAACGATCTAGTGTGTAGGATTTGAAATGGAATGGAATTGCATTATTTATAAATAATTTATCGAAATGAATTATAAAAAATTATTAAAATAATTAAATTACATTTTTATTGATTGATTATTTCAAAACGAAATGTTTTTTAATATATTTTAAAACATTATTACAAATAGATCCTACGAAATCTCGTGAAATACCATCTATCTCGTTAGATATTTAATTTTCACATTTATGGAATTTCAGTTTCAGACTTCCATTTAAACTAGAAGCAAGACTGAAAAGGAATTCAATTTCAAATCCGGTAAACCAAATGGATGCCAAAATATGGAGAGAAAGGATAGGAATTCAGATCGTAATTAAGCCAAACAGAAAAGCTCGAAGTTTTCTATTTTGAACTTTTTTTCCGCAAGAAATAAACAATTCTTCTTATGATGATTGTTTATAATACAATTAAAATTAGATACTCAAGAAATTTCTTATTTAGGAGGTGTTTGAAATTGCTTATTTGAAATAACTTATACTAAAAGTTCTTATCCACTTATTATAAGTTAGAATGGTTTAACTTTTTCAAAAACTCCTTATTATCAATGACACATCGAAATAAATCAATAAGTTATTTTCATAAGCAATTCCAAACATCCTTTTAATTCTTTTAAGGCGAAAAATTAGAAATTTAAATTCAAAACTAATTTTGACAAGAAAAAGGCGAATCCGATTTGTTATTGGGTAACCGCATTTGGTTAAAACCATAACCACCACCCAAAWAAAGGTTTCATCATCTATCCATCCCTCTTCCATGGCTTCCAAACCATCCCTCACTCCCATCGCCGACCTTACGATCCATAAAATCCCGACATTCCACAGACAATTTCTTCAAACAAACCCTACTTTTTGTTCTTCATCAACATCGTCACTGCTTCCAAGGAAACTTCYAGGTTCCAAGCTCGTTTCAAGACGGAAAGCGTCTGTTTGTAGTAATTCACTGAAGCAGGAAACGGTACAGAACCCTACTGCAACTCAGACTCCGCTTACGTCATCTAATAAACTTGTTCTCGTCATTGGAGGCACCGGAGGAGTTGGTAAGATTCTTTTAACATAGTATTCTTGTTATATTATGTATTAGGGAGCATTTAACTTAACGCTAATGTTTGGATGAGTCGTTTAAGGCTTTATATGAACTTCCGTGGTTCAAGATGAATTATTTGTAGTCTGAGTGTTAAATTGTTATTGTTGGTGCCTAAATTTGTACGTTATTCGATAATTGCCTGTTGTTTCTTCTAAACCTGAACACATCGTTTTGAAAATCTTAAACCTAAATCAGATCGGTTTGACTGTGGAGTAATAGCTGCACTAGAGGATTGGGCCCTTTTTTTTTGAAGTCTAAGATAATACCGACCCTTTGAATTAACATATGTTCTAAATGATTGTTAAGGCTAGCGTATGGGGACCGGACAAGCTTTCCTGCTAGTATGAGGGGTACTATATCAAGGTTTCAGGAGATCTCATATGGAGTATTGTTTTAAACATTAAATCACGGAGATTAAATTTCTGAACTCTGATAGAGTTTTCCCTGATCTGGGAGCTGTTAATAATGTCAAGAAAAAGTTATGCATAATTTTAAAGATTAATCTAGGGAAAAGCCTTAAAACTTCATTTTAAATCATCATTTTTTTGAAGTATATAATATTTATATACTGCAAATGAAACTCATACACACTCCTCACCTTTGTTGAGGTTGGAACCCTTGACCTGTCGAAAGGCTGGGTTGCATATTTGCAKCTGGGCAAAGGCCCTTTGGTTTAAATCATCATTTTCCCTTGAGATGCATTACAATTGTGGAATATAAAGCATAATGTAAAAATAGATAACAAAGATATATCATGGTCAAGCCTTTCCCTAAAGCCCATTYCTTGGTATCTCATTGTGATTTTCACTATTATTCAAATAAATTTTTTGGTGGAGACATGGGTTACAAGCAACTCAAGGTTTCCTTGGATGAATTTGTGTGTACCTTATGACGGCACAACTCTATATCCTAACTCACCCAAAGCTATATGCTACCAAATAAGTATACCTCCAACCCCCTCTACCACCAAAGAACATAATCTCACGAGAATATTCTGGCAATCTTTAGACTTATCTTCCAAGTCTTCATAATTTGCATGATAGACTTATACTAGTTTTTTTTTTCCTTTTTTTTTTTTACCTTCAAAACTTGTTAATATGTTTTATTTATGTAATAATAATGAGTTGWATATGACGATGAAATAATTTACATTTCAAAACTTCCCATTTAAAAYTATATGRTTGAGTATGATAAATATATCGTGGATCCTTAATATGTATACTAATGTGTTACTTATCTACAGGACAATTARTAGTAGCATCATTGCTAAATCGGGATGTTAAATTGCGCCTATTRCTCCGAGATCCAGWGAAAGCYGCTACTCTATTTGGAAAACAAGAAGAGGAGAAATTGCAGGTCTCTTGTTTTATTTTGTTTTCTTACGTGTTGTGTAAGAAAAAGAAAATCGACATAAGTGTTCATCTTGATTCTCTTGCTTTCATTAGTGAGACCAGTTCAGGACATGAAATTTATTTGAAAGGGGATTTTGGTAGGTGATGAAAGGGGACACTCGGAACTCAGTGGATCTTGAGCCATCAATGTTTGAGGTTTGTGCTCTCAATTGGTTTATGGTTTTCTTTTCCATAGGTTTGTGCTTTGAGCACTATATCAGAAGTATGCTCTTTTTGTGCCAATGGGTAATATATATATGACCTTGAATATTTTGATGCATAGGGTGTCACTCATGTTATTTGCTGCACGGGTACTACAGCCTTCCCATCACGGCGATGGGATGGAGATAACACACCTGARAGAGTAGGTCTGAATCATACTTGATGGAAATCRGTTGTGAATATTGTTTTATTCAYATATATTTGTATATTATGTGTTTACAACTTGAAGGAACAGATGTCACTGCAGTGGAGGTGGAAGATTACCTAGTTATGTGAAATTGGTTCCACTCAAGTCTTGATGTGTTAGAGGCCTCTTGGATAAGTTTTCATATAGGGTACACAGATAATAGGTTGCCGTAACATGTACACATCCAACAAAGTTTGAGAAAACATGTTTTTATTCTATTTTAATAGAAAGAAAAACGTTTTCTTTCAGTGAGTACCTAGGCTTGTTACTTGTTAGGAGTTACTTCTTTGACCCAAAAAGAATGCGTCGTTTGACTTAACAAATAGTTTAATCAAAAGTCCCCAACTAAGGAGTACATACATATATACCCCTTAGTAACACAAAACTGAGAAAGCTTATGGACAAAAATCAGTTATAAAATATTTTGTCATTGTTAATGGATAAATCAGTAAATTTGAGAAGGAATCTTTCTAACGAAGGAAGCATTGCATATTTTTGTGACAACCTATAAAATTGGAAGTTTTGCATTTTTTTTGGAATGTAGAGAGTGTTAATCTTGATTTTAGGGTGAAGTACAAATCTTAATAGTATAAATGGGTAGACGCCCTTGGAGTTCCCCCATCCCATCGGTCACACGGCCATCACAGGGGAGGTAAATCAGTATGAGTTAACAGTAATTGGAGGTGCCCAAGTTTAAACTCTGGATCTCCTTCGCGAATGCTCATGATCCTACCGCTGAGGCTACACTTGGGGACAAATCTTAATAGTATATTGTATCTCAAGGGATGGTTTGATTTGCTCCTCAACTGTGGTTGTTCACATGTCCAGATAACGATAAAATAAAGCAACTCATCAGGTTTGCTTTGGCTACCAATGCACATAAGCACATAAGCTTTGGTGTTTAATATGTGTAGCACATAGAGCTCGACATAACCTTTTGTCCCATTCTGTTGTAGTTTATGTAAAAGATGTTATTTTTTTCTTTTTCAGTTTGATGTGCATTCTAAAGATGAACAACGCTTGTTATCATTGGTTGCCCACATGTGTGTATACGCAATCTGTTGACGCAAATAGTTTACCATCCATCTTATTTGGTGGTAAAAAGATTCCTCTTTGTGCTTGGATAATTGCCTTTTCTGATAACTCGTTGTCATTTTGTGTTTGAAGATTGGGAAGGCGTGAGAAACCTTGTGTCAGCACTGCCACGATCACTGACAAGGCTCATCCTAGTTTCATCGGTARGAGTAACCAAGTCTAATGAACTACCATGGAGGTATATATATACACCTCTCTTTATCGAGAAGTTAACATTTGTTATAATTTTGACAAATTAAACTGCTCAATTCATTCAACTGTGTTATTTGTTTGCTCTTCTTTCAACTAGTCTCTTGACATCTCTGAACCCAATCCTTTTTTTTTCTTTCTGTAAATGAGTATAGTCAAGTACTTGATCACACAAAATCCCTATATATAAATCTTTAGCTGTATTTATCTAGATCCACATATCAATAATTCCATAAGCTTGGGCCTCTTCATAAAAATATCCTTCATTGTGCTTGCTGCCAGTAGAAAGCTAAACCTCTTATTTCCTGATCCTAATTTTACTCTACCCTTTCATATATATCAGCATCATGAACCTTTTTGGTGTTCTCAAATATAAGAAGATGGGGGAGGATTTCGTTCGTAACTCTGGCCTTCCTTATACAATTATAAGGTTTGTGWCTCCTRATCCCATTGTGCTTTCAATTATATTACTCGCCCGAGGAATTTGAGATGGTTCACTCTTGTTGTATATGCACATTATATACTTGTGCTATATTGTTTTTTGCATTCTAGACCTGGTAGGTTGACAGATGGACCTTATACATCATATGATCTAAATACTTTGCTCAAAGCTACAGCAGGTGAACGACGAGCCGTTGTAATTGGTCAAGGTACCTGAATTATATTCTTTTTTTCTATTAACCTGGATATCCAACCCGCTATGCGAGTCGACTAATCCCAGGACGACCATCGGAATTATATCCTTCCTAACTACAAAATTGGCCTTTTAGGATCCCAAGGTGTCCTAATAG